GCCACCGCCGCCACAGCCGGGGGAGCGCGATGACTGAGGTCCCGCAGCCGGGTCCCTGCCGGCGCAGGCCCCGCCCCCTCTGGCCCACGCCCCTCCCACCCCAGCAAGCCTGGCAGCGGCCACGCCCCCTCCCGTGCACGCTCCGCCCACACCAGTGTACCGGGCAGAGGACACGCCCCCCCATGTGCACGCTCCGCCCACACCAGTTCACTGGCCCCGCCCTCCCCTCTACGCCCCTCCTACCCCAGCGCGCCTGGCAGCGCAAATGCCCCCTCCCAGTCACCGCAGGGAACGCTGCCTTGGCTTCTGGCTCTTCATTCACCAAGGTGCCCAAATGCAGGGGGCTCCCCACGCCAGCCCCTCTTCCTGGGCCCAGGGTGCACCCCAACCGGCAGGCTAGACAGAATAGGGGGACCCCCGGGCTCGTCTTCCCTTCCCCTGGGGGCTCCCCGTGTCCTGCCTCGCTGCCCCCCCTGCTCTCCTAACTCAGGGATCCCCATAAACTTCCACCCAGTTTGGCTCCCCAAGCACCTTCAGGGCCCCCCCCCTCCCCACCCACCAGCCCTGTCACCTGCCTGACTTGCCCACCCCACCCCACCGCGTCTCCAAAGTGGATGCCACCGAGTTCTGTGTCTTCCCAATTCTATTTTTTAAGATTGTAAATGTTTTGTAATTAAAGGAGCTTTGGATAAGGAATTGTCTTTGGACCTTGTGTATAAACGGCGCACAGGTACTCAAGTTAGGAAAGCAGCGGGAGGGTTTTTGTATAAAAGTAGGGGTAGCCATCCTGGGAGCATGTCGGGAAACTGAGGCTAGGGAATGCTAATTCCACCAAGGAACTTGAGAGTTTCTGGCCTCCCCCAGGGTGGCATAGGTTTGGAGCATGTGCACTGGAAGAGATAGATCTCAGCTTATAAAAACGGCAGGTTTATTGAGCAAGGGCTTGTATTCAAGAAGCCAAGGAGCCTCCTCTCCTTCTCCTTGCCCCCCAAGTCTCCCCAGGGGACCAAAAAAAAAATGGCCTAGTGTCCCTAAGGGGACAAAAAAAATGGCCTGGACCCTGAGCCCTATCCAAAACAAACAAAAACAAAAAACCACGGAGGTTTCAAAAAGTTTCAGCATCTGAATTCCTCATAGAAAAGGGAAAGGAGCAGAGGAGATGGAAGGGTCCCCAACCTGGAACACCTCCCTTAAATAGCTGCCCCATTTGAGGCAATCTTGGGCCAATAGCATTAAAAAATTCCCACACCCCATTTTATCAAAACCAAGGAAAAAAAATTTCCCTTTCCCCCCAATCCCAAATATATATATATATATATATTTCTTTTTCTTAAAAAAAAAAAAGACAAAAACAAATCGAAGGCATTAAGCGTTAAAGTGAATCTAGAACAAGGGAACATCAAATTCCCTTCTTCCTTCCCCCTTACTGCGGGGTTACTTGGTACATCCCCAGCAGAGGAACCAGCCCCAAGGGGATGGCAGAGGGGGAGGGACTAAAGGATGAAGGCTCCCCAGCCAATCAGCAGCCAATATAGGTATGGGCGTGGTGCTGGAGAAGCCACACCCCCTTGAAAATTTCCAAGTGGGATTGGGGGAGGGAGGGGGAGGAGAAAGGGTGAGAAGATGCATTCCCGTGTATTCTTCAGCAATTCCAGGTCAAGTCGAGGCAGGGAAAGCAGGGTGACCGGCGGGGTGTGCAGAAAGGAGAAACAGGGTTTTCTGGGTTCCTGTGCTTAGGGGGAACCCCGCTTCTTCAGTTCCTGGATAAAGGCTGGAAGGCAAAGGAAAGGCAAGAGGTCAGGACCTGTCTCTTCCCCCTTTCCTTCCAAACCAGATTCTTCAAGACAGCCAGGATGCCTCAAAGATAAATATATAAGCGAACCAAAATCACCTCACCTTCAATTATTTCCTCTTTCATTTTCTGCAACTCCTTCCTCACCTCTTCCAGAAGCTCCTGAAAATAAAAAAAAACAATCAAGGGGCTGGGAAGGTGGCTCAGTGGTAGAACGTTTGCCTTGTATACGTGAGGCCCTGGGTTTGATTCCTCAGCACCACACAAACAGAAAAAGCCGGAAGTGGTGCTGTGGCTCAAGTGGTAGAGCGCTAGCCTTGAGCTGAAGAGCTAAGGGACAGTGCCCGGGTTGAGTTCAGGCCCCACAATCGGCAAAAAATAAAAAAAATTAAAAATTAAAAAAAAAAATCAAGGGGTCTGGGGGGTGGGGTACTATGGAACAACATCTCAAGGCCCCCTCCTCCCTTTCTTGGTGGCTGAAAGACCAGAGGAAGGCTGAAGACTAATACCTTCCCATACCTAGTTTGTGACACAGCTGGTTACCACCAAGGTCACACAATGACCATTAGATTCTATAGGTGAATTCAAGATCCTGGGGGGTGGGGACGTACTGGAGAATTTCCAGTACCAAGTCAGGCAAATGCATCTTAGGCTCCTGTCAATTCCGATAGATAATGGGCGGCTGGAGCCACTGGGCTGAGGAGGATTCTGGGCACTCAGCAAGATTCCTAATGTCTGTCACAGGCACTGGAGAAGGGAGATGTGGTATCTTCTAAGCCTTCTCTGAGACCACTGAGGGCACTGGGTCAGGCTTTGGACCTGGATCTGCCTTCTTCCTCCCTTTTGTGATGGAAGTCCCTCCCCCAAGCTACCTGTTTCACTCTCTCCAGGTCTGACTCATCACCAGAGCTGTGCGTTGAGGGTTGGGTCTCAGAGTTGGTGAAGGAAGCCGCTGACTTCATCCTGGAAGAGTGAGTGCCATCAGTGAGCTCTTCCTGCCGCACTTCCCATCCTAGGGTCCCGTTATGTTCTTACTTAACACATCACACAAATCTAACTTTTTCTTGAAGGGGAGGACATGGCACCCAAATATCAATGGTTCACCTTGGCAGAGTTGTGCTGTTCTTCTCCCAGGGTCTCCGCACAGGCTCTAAGGGATGGGAGACAAACCAAAAAGATGAGCTGCCCCCCCCCCCCCTCAGGAGACTACATTCCTCCAGCAGTAGTTTAAGACTCTCTGGGAGTGTTTTGAGAACAGGGCATTCTGGGATTTGTAGTTCCTATAACTGCACTGCTCTCTCACTCACCACTCTGGGCGGGGACTCTGGGTTCGGGCTCCTCCTGCTGGTGGGAAATAAAAACTATCATGAGCCAGCCCCGCTGCTCATTTCCTCTTCCAGGTTCAAAGTCAGCCCAACCCTGTCTGTCACACACCCTTTCCTCCTCAAGACCCCTACCCTGATGCAACCCCCTAATTCACACAGGAGAAGCAGGGCCCCTAACTTACACTGGCAGATTCGTCTTTGGAGGTCTTCTCCCCAACTTGTGTGGCTTTCCTTCTGCAGGAGAAAAAAAAAAGCAAGGTCAAACTTGAACTGTTCAACAGCCCTTCCCCACCAAGAAACTTGGCATGATAGGACTTTTCTCCCCAGCACTGGGGGTGGGATGAGGGAAGACGGGATGAACAGCTTAAAAATATTAAGAAGCCAGGCACTGGTGGCTCATGCCTGTAATACTAGCTACTTAGGAAGTTGAAGTCTGTGGTTCAAAGCCAACCTGGGCAGGAAAGTCTGGGAGACTCTATCTCCAAAGAACCACCAAAAAGCCAGAAGTGGAGTTGGGGCTCAGGTGGCAGAGCATCAACTGTGAGGAAGAAAGCTAAGGGCGCCGGTGGCTCATGCCTGTAATCCTAGCTACTCAGGAGGCTGAGATCTGAGAATCTCGGTTCAAAGCCAGCCTGGAAAGGAAAGTCCGAGAGACTCCTATCTCCAATAAACCACTAGAAAACCGGATGTGGCGAGCGCTCTACCACTTGAGCCACAGCACCACTTCCAGCTTTCTAGTGGTTTATTGGAAATAAAGAATCTCATGGACTTTCCTGCTGGAGCTGGCTTTGAACCGCAATCCTCAGATCTCAGCCTCCTGAGTCGCTAGGATTACAGGCGTAAGCCACTGGCGCCCAGCTCTATAAGGTAACTCTTAACCAAAGAAACAATGAATCTGATTAGCTTCCCCCACCCATGTGAAGCCCAGGAGAACCGGGGCGGGCTCAGGCTCACCTCCGGGCAAACATGGCATTCATCTCTTCCATGAGCCCCCCACCTGTGCTTCGACCACTCTCAGCTTTGGGGGCCAGGGACCCCCCTGATGTCTCCTCCTGCTGGAGAAGTTAAAGAGAGGAAGGGCTTAAGGGCTGGCCTCCTCCCTTGGTCCCCTCAGGCCCTCCTCCCTTGTCCCCCCCACACCCCACAATTTCCAGCTTCTTACCCTGCTCACTTTCCTGAGTTTGGCTCCGGCAATGGCTGCGGCCAGGCCGGGGGCCCCAGACCCACCACCACTAGGGCCCTGTGCTGTAGGGAGAGGGGGTGCAGGGGGTGGGCCTCCCCCTGTTCCATGCCCTGCAGCAGAAACTCCAGAGGGGGGCAAGCCTGGGGGTGGGGGGGGACCAGGAGGAGGAGGCGGCCCCGGAGGGGGAGGTGGTCCCCCCGCTGGGGGAGCAGGTGGGCCTCCTGAAATAAGACAGACAGAGGGGTTGTTCAAAGAGACAGCCTCCCCCCTTCCCCCTCCCTGTCCAGCTCAGCCCCCTTTCCTCCAGGGAGCACTGCCTCCCCCCCCACCAGCTCCAGGCCCCATTTGTGCCTCACCTGCATTGGACACCCGGCGTTCCATGTGCCGCTCTGTGTGCTCCTGCTGACCCAGCTGGGGCCTGGGGAGGGTGGGGGAGGGACAGCCCTTAGTCCAGGCCATACTGTGGCCCAGGGTCACTGCCCATCCCCCCACCCAAGCCTGCCTTCCCAGGGTGAGGGGTGTCCTGAGAGACCAGGATGTGAGCAGGCAGGCTAAATCTCAAGAAAACCTGATTGCTTGGGGTTCCTGTAACACCAGGAGTTTCCTGAACCCCTTGGAAGGAAGAGTTGAGGGGAGAAGATGACCTGAACTCTTTTTTTGTTTGTTTGTTTTTTGCCAGTCCTGGGGCCTGAACTCAGGGCCTAGGCACTGTCCCTGAGCTCCTTTGGCTCAAGGCTAGCGCTCTACCACTTCCAGCATTTTCTGTGTATGTGGTAACTGAGGAATGGAACCCAGGGCTTCATGCACGCTAGGCAAGCACTCTACCACTAAACCATATTCCCAGCCTAACCTGAAATCTTTGCTTCTCACCTCCCTTTGCAAGATGGAAATCTGGAAACTGAAAGCTGGAGGGGCGGGGGGCGGGGGGGTGGGAGTCCTGGACTCCAGTGGCTCTAGAACATTCTAGAACTCGGGCAAAAAGTTTAGGTTCCCACCTTTTCTGCTGCTCCATCTCCTCTGTGGAAGGGCCATTCTGGGCTGACCAGGGGGGTGGTGCTTGGATGGCAGGAGGCCCACCTGCTGGGGTGAGGACAGAGGGCACTGAGCTTTCTGGGGATGACCCCGACACCCTCACTCAGAAGCAATTCTGTCACCTGAGCTGCTCTCAAAGCGGACACTGTTCTGACACCTCAGGACAGGGACATCCATCACTGCGCCCACCCCCAGCCCCTTCCCCTCAGCTATGTAGGTTGGAACCTGTAGGAACAAGCTTGCGTCCCCGCTGACTAGGCTCTTCACTACTATCCTTGCCCTGTGGCCCTAACCTGAGGGGCAAAGGGCCTCTTCCCCAAGCTCCAGCCACGCCCACAGAGCAAGCCCCTCCCTCAGGGCTGACAGTGACCCAGGAAGCAAACTCCTCCCTCTGCTGGGTGATTTTTTTTCAGGCCTTCAGACTCAAGGTCATCTTCAGGGTCCTTCCTCTTGACATCTCCAGGGGGTTAATGGGAAATGCAGAACCTTGGGCCAGCCACCCTGGTCCTATGCCAGAGCCTGCATTTGACCTGACCCCCAGATGTCTTTCAGTGCATGCATTAAATTAAGTGTAAGAGATGCCAATTGGAGACTTCTCAGTGTGTGTGCACTTTCTATGTCCTGGAGCTTGAACTCAGGGCCTGGGTGCTGTCCCAAGGCTGGTGCTCTACTGCTCAAGACACAGCTCCATTTCCGGCTCTCTCCAACTTCAGGTGCACTCTTGATGAATAACACCCCAAATCCCCACTGGAGAGACTTTAATATCAACACCTAAGAAAAGCCTAGGGAGACTCGATCTCACAGACTGTGAATGTACACAGGTCACCAGGTGTCCTGTCCCCTTAAGCATCATGAGTTTTGTACACAGGCACCTGCATGCATGTACATAGAAGCCCATGAAATCCTCATCAGAATTTTCCACCCAAGCAACAAGTTAGCTGTCTTAGAAATGGGTACAACTGAGGCCCAAAGTGGCAGAGCCACTGTTCAGGCCCCACACCACCATCTAGGAGCACCCTGTGCCTGCCCATATCTCTGTTTTGACAGGGCTGCCTTTTGAACTGAGGGCTAGACTGGCTGTTCTACCATGGAAGCCACGCCCACCACCATGGCCACGCCCACCACCATGGCCACGCCCACCAAGGCTAACCTTCCAAGGCCTCCAGGGCACTGGCCATGCCCGTGGCAAACTGGGCTGCATCTTCCTTGCTACCGAAGTTGAGACCCCAGACCTGGCGGGCATCGCGCCACTGATGGAAGCTGGGTGTGGCCTGGTTGTATTTGACACCTCGGACGATGGCACAGTTGATGACCACCTGGGAGGGGCAGAAGAGGGAGTAAGGGGGTGACCGGTGTAGGGGTGGGGGCTGCAGCAGACGGGGAAGGCAGGGGGGGGCGCCTGTACCTGCTGATCCTGCTGCATCTTGCGGCCCACCACCCGGAAGGAGTTGGCCGTGGGGTTGTGGTAGATCTGGACCCGGCTGTAGGTCTGGGGACCCGTGCCTGCGGGCAGCCACTGCTTACTGCTGTCATCGTACAGCATGACCATGGCCCGGCTCGAACACACAACTGTCTCGCTGAAGGGAGAAAAGAGAAAGGGGGGGACGGGGCAGTCAGCATCTCTATCTGGGTCTGTCTGGGACACACAAGGACAGTGCCAGCGTCCATGGAGGGGTGAGGAAGGGAGCTGGGACTGGCCAGACAATGTAGCACGTGATTGTAATCACGGCCACCTGGGACGATTGTGGCCTTACTGCTTACAAAACACGGTGGACAGAAACTGGACCAGAGACAGACACCCAAACAGACAGGGAAGGAGAGAGCCAGCTAAGCTGCTGCCCTCATGGACCTCTCTGACCTCAGTTTCCCTGACTTTCCAGACTGAACAGTCACATGGCTCCCAATTCAGGAAAGATGAGGAAACAAGAGGCCCAGGGACTGACCCCTGGTGACCCCCAGCCACCCTACTCCCTGGGGGCACAGTTACATCCCATAGGATCTTCTAGAAGGTTCCATGGCTTTCCACTACCACTCTCCCAGGAGGAACTAGGCTCCCAGACAGGGAAGTAACCTGGCCAAGGTCACTCAGACAGGGGAAGTAGAGGAAAGCCACCCCACCCCCACCCAGCTTGTTTCTGAAAAGAAGAAGCTGGTGGTCAGAACGTTTCCGGGGGACAGACATGACACCCCACAAGGATTGTCTCCAGAGAGCCCTGGGAACTGGGGTATGACACCATCAGTGAGAATTGGGGGACAGGGAAAGAACCGAAGCAGGCCCAGCTGTGGGTCCCTGGCTAAGGGACTGAGCCTGATACCCCAACTTTGTACACTTCAGGTATCTCATCCAAGTCACCCCTTTCCCAGGGCACCAACCTGTTGCCACTGGAGCCCTTTAGGAGGGCCCCAGTTGTGTTGGGCCCAGGTGAGGGCAGCCTCCAAGGCCCAGAGACATAGAGTACAGGGCCTCAGGTCACACAGCTATCTGGCTGGGTAAAGTAAAGCCCTGAGGCCGTGCTACCTGGCTTAGACCCAGAACTGCGTGGGCCCTCCCCAAACCTCAGGTGCTATTTCCAACCAAGCACAGCCTCGAGGGGCTGTTTCAGGCTCCAGTGCCCCCTGCCAGAGCAGGGTGAAGGCCCCACCCACACCTCTCACCCACACCCAGGGCAGACTGTGGCCAGGTGCCCAGGCTAATCGCTGAGCCACCCTGCCTGCACTTTGTCCCTTCGGGTGGCCCTGCCCTAGCCAGGCAGAGGGTGGGATGGAGAACTCACTGGATGGTGGCTGGGGACCCTGGGCTTGTCCTGCCCTCTTCCAGGGCTTTAGGAGCCCAATCCAGCAGCCAGAAGAAGGCTCTCCTGTTCCCCAAAACTCCAGCTACCAAGAAAGACAGGGGCCCAAGTTCTGACACCAGGGACCTGTGTCTCACACCTGTAATCCTAGCAACTCAGAAGGCTGAGATCTGAAAAGTCACTGTTTCAAAAGCCAGCCCAGGGCAGAAAGGTGAGATTCTTGCCTCCTATCAACAAGCAAAAAGCCAGAAACAAAACTGTGGTTCAAGTGGGAAAGCAAAAAATACTTAAACAAGGAACACTAACAACAAAAGCCAAGTAAGTATGTAACTTGGCACTGGTGCCCCATGTCTGTAATCCTAGCTTCTCTGGAGGCTGAGATCTGAGGATCGAGGTGCAAAGCCAGCTCAGGCAGGAAAATACATGAGACTCTTATCCCCCCTTGAACCACTAAAAAACCAGAAGTGTGGCTGTGGCTCAAAGTGGCAGAGCACTGGCCTTGAGCTGAAGAGCTCAGGGACAGCGCGTAGGCCCCAAGTTCAAGCCTCAGGACACACACACACACCACACACACACAATTTAAAGACAAAAAAAAAGCAGTTTTAAAAAATAACAAGGTCAGAAGGATATATTTGGACAGAATGGTAATCTATGCTACACAGAGCTTTCTCCTGAGTATGGCTGACTGAGAGGAACTGGGGGCTGAGGAGAAACACATTTCACATCCTTTTACCCTTTTCAACAACTACGCTGTTTCTTACCTTTTTCTTTTTTGGGGGAGGGGGGTAGAGGGAAGAGGGAAGTTAAGACAGAGTGGTGAAATCTCTGTGGTGGTAAGGGCTGAACCCTGGGGCCCTGAGCAGGCTAGGTAAGCAACTCCAACCCTCCAGCCGAGTCCACAACCCGAGTCCTGGCCAGGTCCATAGCCCAGGCTGGTGTCAAAATTTGTGATCTGGGCCTGGTGCTGGTGGCTCACGCCTGTAATTCTAGCTACTCAGGAGACTGAGATCTGAGGATCGAGGTTCAAAGCCAGCCCAGGCAGGAAAGTCCGTGAGACTCTTTATCTCCACTAGAAAACCGGAAGTGACGCTGTGGCTCAAGTGGTAGAGCACTCGCCTTGAGCTGAAGAGCTGAGGAACAGCGCCCAGGACCAGAGTTCAAGCCCCACGACCGACCAAAAACAAACAAACTTGTGATCTGGGCTGGGAAGGTGGCTCAGTAGTAGAGTGCTTGCCTTACATGCATGAGGCCATGGGTTTGATTCCTCAGTACCACAAAAGCAGAAAAAGCCAGAAATGGCACTGTGGCTCAAGTGGTAGAGCATTAGCCATGAGCTAAAGAGCTGAGGGTCAGTGCACAGGCCCGGAGTTCAGGTCCCACCACCAACAATAAAAGCTTGTGATCCTCAGGTCTCACACTTCCCATAGCTAGATTACAGGTGTACATCACACCTGGCTGTTCCTTTTTTTAAGAAAAAAGAAAAATCCTGGGCTAAAATTACCTGTAAGAAACTAATTTGTTACTTAAGTAAACAGAAGTATATTCTAAGATGGAGTGGAAAATCCCACAGGCAGAAAGTAAGGGGGCTGAGGTGAAATCTAGTAATCTCCTACATTTCACTTCTACCTTATAAGAGAAAGTATCAATCCCCAGACAGCCCAGGAATCAGCCCTCCTACCCCCTTGCTGTCTCTGAATCTCAGATTTCCGCTCTAGAAACTAGAATGCACTGGGCTTGCTGTAAGGATGAAGAATGGACAGAACCCAAAAACCTGACACTTATCACACATTCCATAAGCGTCCTGATAGGAAGCAGGGGTGAGCCTCCCATCACTGGAGGTAATCAAGCCCAGAGACTACAGGTAACAGAAGCCTTCCAGATTCTGGTCTTGCCCTTCCCCCCTTCCTCACTCCCCACCCCCACAACTTACCCCATAGCCTCCTTACACCACAGCCTTGTGACAAACACACCTTCCTAAACTATAAATAATTTTCTCTGAAGCAACTCAGGTTAGGGAATGATCTAGAGCCTGCAGGGCTTGTGTGGTTTCCGCTCCACTGTCTCCTTCCTAGTGAGCCTCAGTTTCCTTTAAGTGAACACAGAAGGTAATTAAGATTCTCATGATTGCTGAGATTACAGGCATGTACCACAGCACTTGGTCCATCTGTCAACTGGGGGAGGGAAAGGAAGGCTGATACATAAGATTGTCAAACAATCTACCCTAGGATCGTAGTAGGAATTATACAAAGGCAAACACCAAGTACAGTGCCTGGCCAAGAGTAGATGTTTGGTTTTTAAGGTCTCACCATTAAACAAAAATTAACAGTATTCCACTATTCTGTAAGAAGAAAGGAACTCAAATTCTTCTTGAATCCTTTTCACTAGAGATTCTCAGACCTCTGACCCCTTTCAAAGCCTTCCCAGAACCCAGTTCCGGGATACGGCAAATATTTGTCAAACTGGAAGGAAAAGAGAGAGAGAGAGAGAGAGAGAGAGAGTGTGGGAGAGCACCATATCTTGTAATTTTCCATCTTTTTCTTATCCTCCCTTCCATTTGCCCCCAGGACTGTCCCTCAGCCAAACCAGACAGCAATTTGTCCATCCCAGCCTCCTCCCACATCACTCAAGCATTTGAAGGCCCTCCAGCCAGTCCTTTCTCTTTGAGCCTCAGTTTCCCCAGCTGGAAAGACAGGCACAGGGAGTTGGTTTTGAGTCTCAACTCTTCTTAAAGGAGTCCACCACAGGCGTCCATCAAGAGACAACCCTTCCCCCCACCCCCTTCCCCACCTCTCCAAAGGTGTCCTCCCCATCAGAGAGGCAGGAGGAGACCTGGCTCCCGGCCACAGCCAGAGGGGCCCCTGCGGGCGGGCAGGAGGCCGGGCCAGGCTCTGCTCCTGCCCTTTTACGGTCTCAGCCGTGAGCGATCCAGTGCTAACTCGGTCGGACATCCGCCATCCGCCTTCCCCGGGGCTAGGGACCGGAAACGGGTGGGGGGGAGGGGAGGGAGAGGGTGGGAGAGGCGTCCCCAGGGGAAAGGGGGGGGGGGAGAAGGAAGAAGACAGCCACTAGGTTACAGGGCTGGGGGTGGGGTGGGGGGGAGTGTGAGTTGGGGTACACCATGTGCCAGGCCCTGGGTTCTGTCCCCAGCACCCGGCCAGAAAAAAAGCTGAGAGCTGGGGTCAGTGTGCTGCCCCCTCTTTTCCTACAGACTTTTTCTTTGGGGGAAGCAGGCAGGCAGACTCGGGGTGTGTGAGTGTCCTCTAGGGCTGAATCTTCCAACAGCCCCTCTGACATCTAAAAGGGCAGGCAGGGGTCAGGGGATTCACCAGAGGTCCTACAAAGATTGGGGTGCCACCCAGATGGCAGAGGCCAGGGGCGCAGGGGGAACGAGCAGAGGGCAGCTGTGGATACCAGGGGGTTAATCCTGGCTGTCTCCCCCCCCCCCACGCCGGGGGCTTGGGGGGCAGGAAGTCCCAGAGAGAGTGGAGGAAGGGAGATAGTATTGTCAGGGGCTGGCCCCAAGGGAGGGATTATGGGGGTCAGGGGAGGGGAGATGGGGGGGGATGAGGAGGGGGGACGGCCCCGCCCACAGGTGAGTCTGGAAGTCCTAGAAAAGACCGAATCTGTGGGTCCCCAGGGCCCCTCACCTCCAGATTAAATTCCTGGGAAGATGGGCTGGGTCCCAGGGGATGGGGGGGTTGTGCACAAGGCCATGACCTTGAAGCTTTCCAGCGCCCCCCGCACCTCCTCCAATCCCAGAGCTGGGGGGGGGGGCCGGGCGAGCGAAGCAGCTGCCCCAGAGTCCCGGCCCGCCCCCCAACCAGCTGTCCCGACAGGTGAGTCCGAAGACAAAGGCCCCCTCCCCCAGCTGCCGCACCCCCTCCTTCCCGCCCTCCCGCCGGCCCTCCTTCCTTCCCGCGGGCCGCCAGGTGGGGAGAGAGGGGGCCGCCCTCCTGGCCCCGGGCCCGGGGCGCCGCCCAGGGCACTGTCGTGGGTGCGGGGCGACGGGGGAGGGGTCCCCGAAACAGACCCTCGCCAGTCTGCGCCTGGACCCGCGGGTCCGTCTCCCCGGTGCCATAGGATCACCCCCAAAAATGTAGGGGATCCAGAAGTACCCCTTAAGTTAAGCAGCGCAGACCCTCACTGACGTGTGTGAGTGTGTGTGTGCCAGCACCACGGAAACGGGGTCCCCGAAATTCAGGCTCTGCGTCTCAGGGTCGCTTCTAGAGCTTGGGGTGTCCCTCACCGACACCCCTTTACGAGTCCCCCCTCCCGATGTCTCCGCTGGGGGATCTGGGGTAAGTATGAACCCCGTCTCGGTCCAAGCTAACCCCCCACTCCCCCGGGGAGTCCTCGGCCAAGTTGGGAGTCCTCTGGCAAAGTCTTTCAAAAAGAAAATCTGGGGAGGTCTTCAGGGGCCCCCCCAAATCTGAGGGCTGTGGAGGGAACCTGGCCCGCCCCGCCCCAAGCCTGGGGAGTCCGACGCGAGCGGCGGAGAGTTTACGATCCGCTCCCGAAGGCTCAGCTCCAAAGTTGAGGTTTCTCCCCCCCCCCAAGTCCGGGCACCACCCCCCACCCCCCAAATTCCAGCCCGGAGGGGAACTGGGGTTTGGGGGGGGACAAAGGCGGGGCGGGGAGCGAGCGATCGGGGTTCGGGGCTCACCTCATGGCTGCGCGGAGGGCGGCGCGCCCGCGGGCGGGGCTCCGGGGCGGCCCTGGCTGGAGGTTTGGGGGTTCGAGGCTGGCTCCCGCGCGTCAGCGTCCCCCGGGGTCCCGCCCCATAGAGTCCGGCTTCCTGGTGGGGGGGTACGGCGGGAACGGGGGCCGGGCTGGGAGGGGGGGCTTCGGGCGCCTTCTCTCAGCGGGCGGCTCGCAGAGCGGGTTCGGGGCGGCGGAAGGGGGGGTGCGGCGGCGCCCCCCGGCCGGCGGCGGCGGCGACAATGTTACTCTACTACTGTACTTCGCTACATCTCCTTCCAAAATTCCACTCCCCGCGCCCACAATGCCCCGCGCCTTAAAGGGGCCGCGCCGCCTCCCGGCGAGGGGGTGGGGAGGGCACGGGGAGCGCGCGGGGCACCGCGACGCGGAAGTCTCCTCGCTTCTCTCCCCCCCCCCACTCCAGCGCGCTAGCACCCGGAGCGGGGTGCGGGGGTTGCACCCTGGACCTCACCTTCCCCTCCCCCAGAGAAAAAAAAATAAACTGTCGGGGTGAGGCGCAAACTTAGTAAAGGACAATGGATCCACTATGAGAACCTGCGATCTCAGCCGCGGCTCCGCGCCTCCCGCCCTGCCCTCGCCCGGGCACCTCTCGGTCGAGTATATTCCACACAGTTTGGGGGGGCAGGGGGAAGAGGATGACCCCACACACACACCTAAATACTCTCTTAAGCATCCTCCCTTCCAAGCCCCGGGTAGGAAGCCTTTCTCCTCAGGTCGCAGCTAATTCAGCAGGGGTTACTAAGGGGTGAGTGGGGAGGGGGAGGGGAGGGCAAGCGAGGCCCCGCCCCCTGCTCTCCCCCCTCCCACCCCCCCTCTTCGGAGGTGAGGAGGAAGTGGGCCAAGGGGGCGCGGCCGGCCGCTGACTCACCGCCTCCCCGCCGGAGGGTCCGGGGCGGGGTGGGGGTGAGGCCGGGCCGGGGGTGCAGCGCTGGCTGGGGGGGAAAGGGAGGGAAATGTGTGTGGGGGGGAAATCCTGCGTGGATAAAACCTTCCCAACCCTCTCCCACGCGCATGCCCCGTTATGACTTGGTGTCGCCCACCAGCTGCACGCGGTCCCCGCGATCCTGAGGGCACGGGTGGGGTGGGGAGGTCCCGGCACCGTCGGTGCCTCAGGGGCTCGGGGAGGTGGGGGGGATTTGAACCCTGAAACCCCTGCGGAGCTTCTGCAGCGGCCCGTCAGGCCCCGCCCCGTGACGTCACGGCGGCCACGCCCCCCAGTGTGGAGTGCCACCTGGCCTGGGCGGGGCGCGCCCGCCGCGCGGGCTTGGGCTTTTTGAACCAATCGGTAAAGTGAGACCTGGAGGTGGGGACTCAAGTCTGGTTCATGATCTTTTGTGCGACGCCCCGGATCACTGAAAGCCACCGGATGGATGTACAAACCCACCCTCAGGGGTGGCGTGTGGGACCCGCCTCCCCTGCCCGGGCTGCGGTCCCTGGCCTCCTCCACCTGGGAAACACCTTCTAGGCCGGGCTGGGAAGGTGACTTAATGGTGCTCTGAAGAACTGAGTAATCCGCTCCCTTCCCCCACCCCCTCTGGGAGACCTTGAACCCCGCTGCACCAGAGGTATAATTGTGTCTCCTCAGGCTGTGAGTAATTTTGGAACCGGGCTAGACGTGATCCTTGTCGGGGCCGCACTCAACCCAATCAGGCTCACAAATAGCAGCTCAACAAACGCCTGTCCAACTGATTGAGAACTCCGCTCATGATTTTGCTACCCAGGTCTTTCTCTCCTATGGGTGGAAATGTACAAATGGAAGAAGTGAGATTTTAGGCTTCACCTACCCTATAAGCAGGAATTGGCAAGCGTTTTTCTATAAAAACCTAAATTTTAGACAAGACATCGGTCTGGTTGACTTCTTTTTTTCCTTTAGGGGTGCTGGGAATTGAACCCAGGGCGTTCTGTACGGTAGGCAAGTTTTCTACCACTGAGCAAAACTACCAGCCCATAGGAGGACACATGTCAGTGTACTTTTGTAATCCTGGTCCTTGGGAGACTAAAGTAGGAAGATCACAAGCCTTAGGACCACCTGAGCAGAAAATTCTCTAGAGCCCAAAAATATCAAGAAAGTGGTAGAGTGCCAGCCAAGCAAGCCCAAGACCCTCAGTTCAAACCCCAATATAGCCCAACAGGAAACAAACCCAGAGAATTAAAAATTTTAAATAGCTTCCTTAGTCATTCTTATCATACATATCCTCCTGTTTTTATTTTCCTCACCACACTTGTCACTATCTGAGATGACTTTCCATGTTGGTCTCCTCTTTTGCCAAATTGGGTTTAGTCTTGTGAATAGGGTCTGGTACACAATAGGTGCCTGCTATATATTTGTAGAGGACAAAATTTTTAATAAAAAATATATTTTGAATTTTATTATTATTTTTTTGGGGGTCCGGTCGTGGGGCCTGAACTCTGGACCTGGGCACTGTCCCTCAGCTCTTCAGCTCAAGGTTAGTGCTCTACCACTTGAGCCACAGCGCCACTTTGGCTTTTTTCTTTTTGCTTATGTGGTGTTGAGGAGTTGAACCCAGGGCCTCAGGCATGCAAGGCAAGTGCTCTACCACTGAGCCACCTTCCCAGCCCATATTTTGAATTGTTTATGTAAATAAAAGTTAATAAGCCAGGGAATGGTAATTCACACCTGTCATCCTAGCTACTCAAGAGACTATGACCTTAGCTGGGTGCCGGTGGTTCACGCCTGTAATCCTAGCTACTCAGGAGGCTGAGATCTGAGGATCAAGGTTCAACGCCAGCCTGGGAAGGAAAGTTTGTGAGATTCTTATCTCCAATAAACCGCTGGAAAACTGGAAGTGGTGCTGTGGCTCAAGCAATAGAGCGCTTGCCTTGATCAGAAGAGCACAGGGACAGCGCCCCAGCCCAGAGTTCAAGCCCCATGACTGACAAACATAAAATAAAAAAGTTAACATCACAATTTTCTCCTACCTTCCCTCAAAAAACAGATGAAGCCAGAAATGGTAGTATACACCTGCAATCTCAGCACTCAGGAGGCAGAGGCAGGAGGTTCCTTAGTTCCAGGTCAGCCCAGGCTATTAAAGTCTTGCCTGGGGGGGAAAGAAAAGGAAATTAGGAAGGAAAGAGAATTTTGTTGAGCTAGTTGATCTCTCAAGATCTGTTCAGTTCTCTTTCTGTCTGTCTATCTATCTATGTATCTATCTATATTTGCCAGTCCTGGACTTGAATTCAGGGCCTGGGCACTGTTCCTGAGCTTCTTTTGCTCAAGGCTAGCACTGTATCGCTTGAGCCACAGCACCACTCCCGGCTTTTTCTGTGTATGTGGTGCTGAGGAATTGAACCCAGGGCTTCTTGCATGCTAGGCAAGCACTCTACTACTGAGCCACATTCCCAGCCTCAATATTTTTTTTGAAAACAAAACAAAACAAAAAAACATTTGGTTGATTTTTTTTGGCTTTTTTTTTCTGGTCTGAATGATGGTGGTGGAATTCCCCCTCTCTCATAAGACTTTCTTTGAGAGGAAGTAGGAAGAAGGGGAAATAAACTTTGTGAGGTTCCTCCATAGGCTGGCTTTCCTTCCACTCTTCCACATAGCTAGGGAAGAGAGGGTACTTCTCTTCCTCATGTCCATGGTCAACCCCAGTTGATCAAGTTGTCCCCAAAAGACAGACATCAAGCCTCCAAGTCTGCATTGGAGTGGGAGTTGATGGTCATTCCAGGTCCACCCCGCCTCTTCTGTAACACAAAATGGGGAGAGAGTTAACAGCGTTCCTCTGGCCAGCCAGCACCTACCTGGCCTTCTAGAACCCCCCCCCCTTTTTTTTTTTTTGCCATTGCTCTACCACTTGAACTACAGTCTGATTTTCTGGTGGTTTATTGGAGATAAGAGTCTTATGGACAGAGCTGGGAAGGTGGCTCAGTGGTAGAGCGCTTGCCTTGCATGCCTGAGGCTGTGGGTTCGATTCCTCAGCATCACATAAGAAAAAAACCGGAAGTGTTGCTGTGGCTCAAGTGGTAGAGCGCTAACCTTGAGCTGAAGAGCTGAGGGACAGCGCCTAGGCCCAGAGTTCAGGCCCCACGACCGGACCCCAAAAAAAAAAAAAGAGTCTTATGGACTTTTCCTGCCTGGGCTGGCTTTGAACCACAATTCTCTGATCTCAGCCTCCTGAGTAGCTAGGATCACAGGCTTGAGACACCCGCACCCAACCATCCAAGATTTTTTTGAGGCTGGGAATGTGGCTTAGTGGTAGCATGCTTGCATAATAGCATGCATGAGGCCCTGGATTCAATTCCTCAGTGCCCCATAAACTAAACATAATAATAAAATTATTTTTAAGTTATTTTTAACTCAGCCTCATGCTTCCTGTTGGCAGTTTTGCTCAAGGCTCGCACTCTACCATTTGATCCACAGTTCCACTTCCGGTTTTGTTTTGACTTTTGTTTGTTTGTTGTGGCTAACTGGAAATAAGAGTTTCATAGAACTTTCCTTCCCTGGCTGGCTTTGGATATTGGTCCTAAGAGCTTGGCCTCTTGAATAGTTAGGGGTGCCAGGCTTCCAGTATTCTTTAGGAATGAGACCCCTGTTCTCATGTGAGGCATGACACTATTCCTTTTGTTTTGGAAACAATGCTGGAGCTGGCCTTGAACTCTAAATCTTCCTGCTTGTACCTCCTTGGTAGCTGGGATTACAGATATGCATGCACCACTATGCCCAGCTCCTCCTCCTGTTTTTGTTTTTTTCCCTGTTGTGGGGCTTGAACTCAGGGTTTGGGCGCTGTCCTGAGGGGTTGGCTTCGAACCACAGATCTCAGCCTCCTGATAAGCTAGGGTTAAAGGCATTAGTCACCGGCTTCTGGTTTTGAGGGACTACCTTAGACAACATCCTCAGTCCATTAGACTTGTCTTAGGGTAGACAGTAACCACAAAGACTAGAGTTGGGCATGTGACCCGTCTACCCAATCAGAAACAGGCAGGTGGTCAGTCACATGATTCAATGTGGCCAATGAAGAGTGATCTGGAGATCCAAATCAATTATGGAGGAATTAGCTAGCTGTCTCCGCTGGGGACAGTAGGCAGGTTGGATGTGAGCCTAGAATGACAATTTTTGTTACCCTACATGGGAATGAAGCCAGTTCTGAGAAAATAAAGTAGTTCCTAATGTCTTCTATCTTGACAACTGGATGTAGCCTTGTAACTCCCCAATGTCCTCAATTACACAGCCCAGTAAATTCCGTGGTTGGCTTTCCTTGGTTATATTGAATTTCTGGCCCTGACAACTCA